GAGTTTTGCCCTGGAGTCTTTCTTCTTGTTAGGCAAACCTACCTGTTTCCAATGTACCTAAAAACCAAAGGGGCAGGAGAGACTTGGTTCCTAAATCCCCTGGCACCTTCTGTCCCCTCTGACTTGCTGAATGACTGTCAATTCCCATCCTCCCAACCAACTCAACCTAGGGTTGCCAGATGGTTTCAGAAAAAATATTGAACAAAAAAAAGGGACCCCGAGAGTTATTAAGAGAAGAAAAAAAGGACCCCGAGAATTGTTAAGAAAAAGAACCCAAAACAGCATGTCCCCTTTAAGAAACATGTGGTGAGACTTTTTGGCCCTAACAGGCTGCTGGCGGCTGCCTGCCATCTTGCCTCCCTGCGTGGGGCCAGACAGCTTCACCTGTGGAATCCGGTAAGCACTAGGGTTGCCAGGCTGCCTCCGTATTGAGCCAGACAGCCCGGGATTTTCACCTCCTGGCTGGGAAAAAATCAGAAAGTACCGGACATTTTAGGTGTCGGGTATCTTCTGAATTTTTTTACCGGACAAGAGGCGAAAATACCAAACTGTCCAGTTCAATACCAGACACCTGGCAACCCTAATTCAACCCCACTGGGCTCTTGTTGGGTGTCTTAGTTAAGGACGGAATTGGGAAAGAGGGACAGTTTTCCGTCTCAAAATCCAGGGCTCAAAGCATTTAAATAAAAACAAACCCAGTAACCTGCCCATTTAGGAGATCTTAATAAGTTGCTTTCCCAGAGCAGAATGCAAGGAATGAGGATACATTTGTATCTGAAGAGAAAAGCAATAATTTGGCAGCTGAAAGGCCATTTTGGAAAACAAAACAGAAATGAACTCTCAAGATGAATTTCAGTGGCCAGTGGATAAGCCACAATTCAGGCTTTGGGCACAAACCCTAGCATTATCTGCTGTCTGCTCTGTGTGTTTATAGTCACTTCTGAGTTGTATTGCTATGTAGTGTTGCGTCACATGACTTATTGAGTTACGCACCCGTGTGAGCCCATACAATGAATGCTAGTTATAGATTTTTCCTTCAAAAAAGAAAACACTCGTTTAATACGGCTGCTGAGAATTTAAGCTGGCAAAATTGGCAGCACCCTTTAAAGAGTAATACAATTTAAAAGTGTGTGTAACAAATGTAGGTTTTTAAATGTCTCACACCTAGATGATAAACTGGATTAGTCCCTTATATCTCTCTACTAGAATTGCAAGAGGCTTGGGGTCTTGGACTTCAACAATTTAGGCCAGCAGGTAAAAGGGCTTTTCCTCAGGGCTTCTTCTTCCCTTCCTGTTGTGTGAAAGACACAAAGGGACAAGGGGGAACTGATTATTTGTGTACATTGGGGAAACTAATATTGACTAGAGGCAAAATTAAACCATAATTAGAGCAGGGGCACCAGACCCTGGGACTTCCAACCTAACCACCAGGTTACAGAATCATCCCCTCCCGCCCCCCTTTGGCCCAGTGACTATTTCAGTTTTTAACCACAATGGAAGATGCTTCACCAGGTGAGACCAAGGGCACCCCACATCCAAATACCCCATACTCAGTGCTTAGGGCAGAGCCCTGATGATTTGCAAGATGGCAGGCCCATATGTAAGGGGGGATGCAAAGGGTGGGAATGCACTCTCCCCTCCCCCCATTGTCCTCCAAGTAATCGTGAGACTGAGGCGGCGCAGTGCCCCTACCTCCCTTCCCTGTGCTCCGGCTGGTCAGGGGAAGGCAGAAGCAGCACATTGATCCAGCCTCTCTCCCCCGTGCTCCAGCTGACCAGCGGCTCATTGCCCCAGCCTTCCTCCCCCATGCTCCAGCAGGCCAAAGAATGGGGCTGATTTTCTCCCTCCCTCGAGGAGCGAGGCTGGGATTGGAGATGGGTCATGGGGGCCGGACAACCATTTGGCCTTCCCATGGCTCACTCCCCCACTAGAAATTCTGGTGTGACGGCCCAGATGGTCTCCCACGTTTTTCTTCTCCTCTGATGTCAGATGGGGAAAATAAAGGTGTTAGAGGGATGGGATTTAGCACACACCTATTTGATTTTCATTTCTCATTGACTATTTTAGGTGTCTCTCTCCCTAGCATGCTGGCTTTTGTGAATTCTATTTTAAAGCATTTCTCTTTACCTCTTCATCATATAAAAATCCCAAGTACCTAAAATCAGGCTTTCTGAAACCCAGTGATGTTCCTGTAATTTGCTAGACCCTTAAACATTGTGATGCTCAGCATCACTAAGCCTAAATCCCTCTGTGAATATAGTCCTCAGAGGCATATTGTGCATGCAGTTATTTGTTTATAGATTTATCCACATTTGTCATGTTCAGCTTTGTCTGTTTTTGAACTTTTATGACTGGGAGTAAAGCAGGCAATTCTAAGCTTAGAATTATTCTTTGCTGAAGTATATATTGTGCAAAAAAGATCAAAACATACAAAAATATAATTCTAATTCAAATTGAATTCAAAATTCAATAATGTATACAATAAGTTCCTTTTACTAGGGGAAAAGGACTTTGGGGAATGCATCTGTAGAAAAACTCTCATAAAGAAAATTATTATGGGATCTGCCTTTCTGAAGACAACCCTTGTTAGTCCTGTTTCTTCCTGAGCTTCCAACATGAGGCTTTTTAAAAATTATCAGTGAAAGTAAATGCCTGCAGTTGAACATCCTCCTCCTTTTCCACCTCAGTTAGATAGAACAAGATCTTTCTATAAAACTGGACTCAGGGAGTTCTCTATATCCCCTGCCTAATAAATGGCTAGCCTGATGCATTTGCCAGTTGGAAAGAGAGGGTAACTCTGGCCAGAGCCGGTGTTAGGGGCGAGCAGTTGCCATTTTCAGGGGGCATTTTTTTAAAACCATCTGGCAACCCTATGGGTGAGACAGGCGGTCGACCGGGACCACTAATTGGTTAGGACCGGCCCTGACTCTGGCTATGTCTACACTATAGAATTTTTTCTGAAAAAACTTGAATTACGTCCACACTGCAATCACGTTCTTTCGAAAGAAAATCGAAAGAACAGAGGGGTTTTTCTGACAGCTGTAATCCTCTTTCTCTGAGGATTTTCTGAAAGAGCCTTTTCAGAAACAGGAGTGTGTGGATGGGGAAGAAGGTTTTCTTTCAAAAGAACAGCCCTCCAGGAAATAACACAGGTGCCCTGGTGGCCACTCCGTCCAAAATAATCACAACTCTATAGTTCCTGTCTCCTGGCCCCTCTTAAAGCTGAAGACACCCTAGACAAACCTTATGGCTGGAAGCCGGCCTGGGAGCAGCACCCTGACCGCGCGGCTCTCCCTGTCAAAGGCCTGCTCACCCATGGCAGAGCCACAAGTTCCCTAAGACCTTCCTGGCCCTCACAGGGAACAGCACCAGGGCTCCAAGGACTCTCCCAGGGGGACCAAGAGGCAGACACCCTCCTGGTCTGGAATAGAGATCCTGCCCCTCCACGAGCTCTGGGGAGAGGAGGAGACACTCCAGGAGCTCTGCTCCAAATGCCAGAATGTGGACATTTATGGCCAGATGTCTGAGTCCATGGCGGAGCGTGGACACCCACCCTGGCCCTTGGAACAGATCCATAGTAAGGTGAAAGAGCTTTGCCAGGGATACATGAGGGCCAGAGAGCACAGCTTGCACTCCGGAGCAGGACCCCTTACCTGCCCCTACTACAAGGAGTGCCACCAAAACCTGGGGTGGGGAAGCCATTTCTTCACCTGTTGTGGTGGACTCCGGCCTTGACTTGCCTCTTGTCACCCTGATGGAAGTTATTGTGGAGGAGAAGGAGGACCAGGGACAGCAGGAGGAGGAGGAAAATGAGACAGCCACTGTCCTGCTCTCCTTGGAGCCAGTTGCTGCGAGCCAGGATGTCTTCCAGGCATCGTTTGATGCCGGAGAGGGATCTTCAGGTGAGTGCTCTCAGTTTGTCACACACATAGGGCGGGGGAGGCGGGCGCAGAGGGGGTGAGGTGCGATGTGAGTGTTGCTTGGCCTGCTCGTGCTGGACATCATGCTGCAATCCGTGAATGTGGAACCACATATAGAAGCAGTGTGCACCACGCAGACTCAGCAGGCAGCCCCTGAGCATGCCCGGGATCCTGCTCCCAGACTCAGGGGAGGCCACACACACCTCTGGCCCCGGGGGGAGGAGGGGGAGAGAGAGTGAGGGAGAAACGCCCTCCCACCACCTACCATAGCTGGAAGCAGGCTAGCCACAAGCAGGGCCAACTTATCCATTAGGCACAGTAGGCACAGTGCCTAGGGCCCACGATACTTTTAGGGGCCCACAAAAATGTTTTAATCTATTTTAAGATCAGAAGAAAAAAAATGAACTTTTAGGGTTGAAGAAATGTTTTAATTTTTTTCTCACATCAGAAAAAAATTAAACTTTTAGGGCCCACGAAAATCTATTAAATTTTGCCTAAAACAGAAAAAAAAACAATGTTAACGTATTTAAAGTTATATCAAAA